GGAATGCCAAATGTTGTTTCAACTGCTGCATCTTTTACAATGAAAGACATGATCATGGTCTGCAAGTGTGCAAGGCTGTTTTAAGAAGTTCCTGCCACACACTGATGAACTCAAAGTAGCAATAAGATGGAAACAGATGCCATCTGGGGAGGTTTTTAGTTTTCTTTTGATTTCTTTTTATTTTTCTTTATTTTATATCCAGACTCTTAAAATGGATATAGGAAAATTTGCTTTCACCATGGCTTGGCTTTAAAAAGATAACTGGATTGCTAGCAAGAATGCTTGAAAAAAAGTTACATACCCTATCCCAAGACAGAAGAAAAACAGCAGCATGCTCAGTTGTAAACTTAACCTATCAGAAAACACACTGAAGGACAACTTTACAGACTCTGCGTTTATCATGACATGATCTTCATGATGCATTTATCATCCTCACCCTTCAGCTGGCTCTCTGTACACCACTTCAGATTAGAACAGCTATCCCAGATGATTGCATGTACAGAAAGAGACCATTATCAAACATTAAACCAAACTCAGGTCCAGCCAACAACTAGTTACAGAAATCCTCTTCAGCGATGAGCGGTATGATGCATGTTTCCCTTCTTGCAAGCGTAAAGCTTTACAGTAGTGTCAAAGTGATGTTGTAGCTGTGACGGTCCAGAAATTATGCGAAAGGCAAAGATTTCTTAGGGTGCTCTCTTTTATTGGACCAATGATGTAGCTGGGATAAAGTTAGATGTGTTTTTGCACGTGAGACCTGAAGAAGAACATCTCACATTTGAAAGTTTGTCTAACTTTGTCCCAGCTACATTGTTGGTCCAATAAATGTTAGACAAGGTTTCAAATACGAGACGTTCTTCCTCAGGTCTCACATTCAAAAGCTGGTCTAATGTTTACTGGACCAACAAACAGGATAGCTGGGATAAAGTTGGACAAGCTCCTGAATCTAAGTCTTTCTTCCTCAGGTCTCATGCTCATGCTTTTGCTGGTCTAACGTTTATTGGACCAACAGCGTAGCTGGGATAAAGTTAAACAAGCTTTTGAGTGTAAGACTTTCTTCCTCAGGTCTCATGCTCAAAAGCCGATCTAACTTTTACTGGACCAACAGTGTAGCTGGGATAAAGTTAGACAAACCGTTGAACGCAAGACCTGAGGAAGAAAGTCTTACACTCAAAAGCTTGTCTAACTTTACCCCAGTTACATCATTGATCCAATAAAAGATACCGCCCTCAGAAATCCTTGCCTCTTGCATAAAACTTGATACCCCCCCACCTCACCTAAAACTTGATACAGATTTCCAAGTAGCCCATCACGTTCATTTCTCTTTGTAGCCCCCTCTAAGAAAGCGCCAGCATCACCTTTCCCTGGGAACCCACACCTGAAGGAACTCCCCTTTCAAATGCCACCCCTGCGTGAATCCGGACCCAGACAACCAAGACGACAGGAGGCACAACCAGTCACTTGTGTGCAATCATGGCACTTGGAAGTCTCCCACTTCATAGAGAAAGTGTCTGTCCTCTCCGGAGGTGCCTTCCAGCCCGACTTTCGACCTGCACCTCCCCTGTCCAAAGCAAGGGGAAGCGCCCTCGCCCAGGGGAAAGAGCCAGCCCTGGGCACCGCATGCAGCCCTTCCTCCGGGGCAGCGCTGCCCTGCGGGGACTCACCGGAGGAAGAAGAAGTAGGAGTAGCCTTGCATGACGGTGTGCGAGTGGCAGGAGAAGTAGCCCAAGCCGGTGAGGGGGAGGCGGGAGCCGGCGGGCACCTCCAGCATGCTGCCCCACGCCTGGTCGCACAGCATCTCGATCTCGGCCGAGTAGAAGAGCCCGTCCTGGCCGTGCCACGGCAGGTAGTTGTAGGCGCTGTACAGCTCCGGGTGCAGCGCCAGCACCTTGGCGTACACGATGATCTCGGCCAGCTCCGCGCGGCAGCTCTCGCTCAGCGGCCTCCAGTCCGAGGGCAGCTGGCAGCCC